GTGTATAAGAGACAGCCCCCCTACTGAGCAAACACTGAATTCATTCACAACAGCAACAAATGCAGTGTCCCAAAGGAGAGGGAAGACTGACAGGGAGCTGAGTGCAGATGAGCCACACAAATTCCTAAATTAATTTTAGCAACAGTAACAATAAAAAGGAAATTTGTAAACACAGAGACCATAAAGGACTGTTACATTCTGCTAGGGATTATTCATTTCATGTAAGGAGAATCCATGAAACCCAGAATGACAGTAGTTCATTAAATCGTACCAGCAGCCTTCAGTGCTGGAAGTATTGGCTTTAGATTTAAACTGTCGTGGGGAAGTTAGAGCCCATCCTTTCTATAGCTTTTTGGTAACTAAGGAAGTTTGGACTGTTCCTGATATTCCCATGCTTGAACAGTAGTGGTTACTTTGAGGCTGACATGCTTATTTGTTTTATATGAATTCTAACGATTTAGAATTGGTAGCAAAAAGTTGCAGATTTTTGTCTTTAAAACTGAGCAACTGTTCTGCTAAGAAAAATCAAACTTTTATATCGCTATTTTTGCTTGTATCCTGCCCACCTCAGAGGAGTTATTAAGTAGAAGCACTCATCTTAAAATATAAATGTTGTCTTAAGCTTATTCCATTATTCAAGCAATGTTTAGTGTAATCCTGTCATTTTCTTATAGTGATCCAGCTGCCAAAGCTCTCTGGGAGTCCTTCATGAACCTCAAGCAAAAGGAAGCTGTGATGGAGGCTAGGAGACACCTTGTGGAGGCTGCAAGCAGAGAAAATTTACCTATTAAGATGAGCATGGGTGAGTAGTGTGACATACCCTTCCTTACATAGTGGTAATGTGCAAGATGTCAGCTCCTCTTCTTCCACTTAAACCTCTCAGGGAACCCATCCTTAGTTCATCCCCATCCTTGTCAACAGGTTTCAGGTGAGCACTGTGGCTACCATAGGATCTTTCTGGTATATATGTGAGTGGCAAGTGTTTTCTTTTAAATACTAGCACCTTAAGATTGAGAGCAATGGTGAAGCAATGGAGTTTTATGAAGGTGGGTTTTAAAGGCATGCAAATGGTTAGCAGTGCTGCTTGTCTTTATTCTGCAAAGCATGAGAATTTGGGTATTCTTAAAAAGTCAGCAGGATTTGTGTCCTGAAAGAGGTCATTGTAAATAGCACCTAATCTGATGGAAGCTGTGCAGATCTTGCATATGATTACATTATACAGGTAGTGATTATATTACATAGATAGTGAGGTTTATGTGGAGTAAGGCTTCCTGGCTCAAGAGCGTTTAAGCTGAAAACCCCATCTGGGCATTCTTTAAACCTGAATTCTTCAAGATATTAGAGATACAGATTATAACATAATGACTTGCAATAGCTTTTTTAGACCCTCGTACTCACTGTATACCATACTCAGTGAAATGCAGGAACTGATATCATGTTAGACTTATAAAAACTGGTATGGCTCTATACCACAATAATTTCTTGCATTTTATGTACTCTAAGACTATTTTATGCTGAACTTTTCATCACGAGAGAAAGGTCTTCATGAAATAAGAGTAATAGGCTTTTATCTGGGACTCCGGAGTAAACTGCCAAGATACTGTAGAAGAATTAGATGTACAGCCAACTCATGAACTGTTAACAACTATAACATTTCATATATTGTATGGTCTTTACAAATACCTAGACCATGCATTGAGTAGCTTATTAATCAGAAATATTAGATCTCTGCAATAGTAATGCTCTAAGCTGTTTTATAGAAATGGAAAAGGAGCAGCTGTGAGAGGGCTATTACAAATCTGTCTGAATGAGGTAAGGCACAGTAAATAATACCTTGATTAAGCTTTCACTGATAATGTGTGTCTGAATATTCACCATAATAACGTTAAGAACCCCACGCTGTTTTTCTATTAAATATGCCTTTAAAAAAGATTATTAATGTTGAAATTCAGCTTTGTTTTAAAAGTAATTGTGCCCTGTCTTTGAGAGATAATGATCCATCTACCACCTTTGCTGCTTTGTGTGAATGATTAGATCAGCCACCTTTTCCTCTGTGTCCCCTTCCCATAATATCCAGTGAAGGTTGCAATAACCCAGTTCTTAATCATGTTAGCTGACACTACTGATGGCAGCCTAAATGTCTGACATACCTGGGCCCAGTATAGTGTGATGTAGAAACACTTAAGAGTTGATGGTGAAACAAATTTCTGACACTGTAGTTCTTGAGACTTTTTTTTTTGGTTGAAGCATAGCTGTAATTTACTAACGTTTATGGAACCTAGTTATGTATTTTGTACATTGTATATTTATATTGCACTAGAATCATAATCAGTCTTTAACTCTGTAGTTGAATTTCAAAGGGCGAAACAAAATTTGATGCAGTCTTGTAAATAATAAACAGGGATAAAATGAGAAACAAGGAAAGGAGAGCCATAAATGCAGAAAAACTTAAATTCACATCGAGATGTCGCATTAGCCAATGACACATACTTATTAATGAATTTTTAGAACACATCTTCATCTTTACAACATTCGTTCCTCATTTATCGTGCTACAGAACATCTTAGCTCTCTGCAGGGAAGCTGCAAATTGTGTTGTTTATCAATTGCTGCTTTTGCTGAGAAGGAAAAATTCTAGTGGTATGTTCTGGTCCCGATTGCTGTGTGTAGTCAAAAGGCTCCTTCCACTGTGGCTGTGATATGAGGCAACAGTGGCTGGAGAGAAGGAAGATGCTTTCACTATGCTCTGTGCTTAGACTTGAGTTTTTATGACTTTAACTCGGGTTCTGCCTGTATTGGAAGATCTTGTGGATTGCACACTGGTTTTCCCAACACTTAAGGTATTTTCTGAGTTTTTTATGACCCTAATATTAAATGTCAGAGAGTTTTTCTAGCATGAAAGTTGCCTCTTACTCTCTTTACTAAGACCAGCTGTGTCAGGTGGTAAGAGTATTTTCCTTACTACTACTTTTTTGCTTTTTTTCCTCTGGAAATAAGGAGTGAATTACATTTGAAAGCAAAACTTTGAATTCCATTTGGTGTAGCTGAGCCCTCCTGCAGTGGCCACCTGCCTGAAAGACTGCATCACGTGTAACACTGGCAGCATGGGGGCCCTGTTCAGCAATGAGAAACTCGATCCCATCCTGTTCTCATATTTTTGGTGCAAGGAAAATAAATTCTGTTGTTTTCTGAGCTTTGAAAGGCTGCTCATTACTCTGAGGTGTGTGTGCTTGCCCACATTTTACCAGCAAGCAATGTGCCTGACACCAGAATTTCCTCTTTCTCTGCCTGGCTGTGCATGACATACAGCTCAAGCTTTCACTTTCTGATATCTTCTGCATGTGTCCTCCTTCTCCCGAGAGGGAAGAGTAGAACTGTAGAAGGAGACACATGTCTTCTCCCCGGCACCCCTGTATGTCTGCAGGCCACTGGGAACTCCCATCTTTTCCCACTGAAATCATCAGGAGTGGAGAGAGGAGAGGAGTTCTGAGGAAGAAGAAAGGGAAATAAAACAATTTTGGCCACGTTTTTTGAGACGAGTAGATTGGAGCACTGCTCTTAGGTGTTCTTGATTTGCATATTTATTTTATTAGTTGTATCAAGGAAAGTGGTAGTGGGGATGTCTGAAAGTCCTATTGACTGTTTCAGAAGGGATCAGTGTAGAAAGAAGGTGGCTGAAGATGAGCTGGCAAAATTTTGTTGAAGGTTTTGGTGGATGGACTCTTGGAGCAAGCCCAGTTTCAAATTTAAGACCATCTCCATGACATTTGTGAATAGAGCAGGATTCTCTCCTTCTGCATCTGTCTCATACTCAAGTTTTCAAGTGGGCCTAAGTGGTCTTATACCATATTCAAGGAAGATTTGCTTTTTTTTTCTTCTTCCATTTATGTGCAAGGAAAGTGCATATTTTATCTGTTGTTTCACTGAGTGAAAGAACTACGTTGTTACAAACTTCAGCAAGTGACACAAGCTAGTAAGCTGTCTAGAACTGTTCATTACAAGCAGTTTAAAATCCTGTTTCTTTTTTAAAGAAGAATTGCAAGTCTTAGGAAACTGCATCACAGAGGGAGACAAAGTGCCAAGTGATGGCCCATAAAACCAACTAGAAGAAAAAACTATGAAGCTACTTTGCCCTTTCCTTACAGAGCAAAACTTGAGCTGTGTAGCAATGTAGCATATCTGATTTTCTGCAGAGAAGCACTGTGCAGAAATTCCAGCCAGCATAAAGGCTTCATGTATGCTACGTTCAGTTTAATCTGTTCCGTCCATAAATACATAATATGGGTTTTGAAGGTGTAATTTCCTGTGGAGTTTAGTAATGCTGCCAGTATTGACTTCTGGGGAGTATTTGTTTGATATTGCTTACTGGGGGTGTGCTGACATTGAGACCCCTTCTTTATGGGATGATATAAATGCACAAAAACCATGTTACATAGTAGTTACATCTAAGATTTGCCTTAAACCTTTCAGCTAGATACATTTCCCAAAACATTTTGTGTTTGCATGTCAACAGATGGAGCTGTCTTTTGCTAGATGTTCATTTAAATAGAGTCATTAAAGTACTCCATATCTCTCTATATACACATGCACATGCTTGAAAAAAACCCAGAAAACAACAAACAACACTTTTTAGGAACTACATATGCTCCGTTTTGCCTCTGAGGCTGTTTCATTTGTGTTTTGGATACCCAAGTGAATGCTGATAAATATGCAGGGAAGATAAATGTTTGCCAAGTTCTGGTCAGATATCCCATTGTGTAGGTGTAAATTATTTTGACATAAGAAAAGTCCTGGCTTTTAAAGAAAATTATTTTATTTAAAGAATTAAGTCTCCTTTTGAAATTATTTTTAAAAGACCATTTAGAAGATTGTCAGAATAGCTTTTGGGTGAGATTTATAGCATTGTGCTAAATACAAGTGAGATTGTAAATACTGGAAAGGATTTACTTCTGCTCAGCTCTTAAAGTAAATGACTGAAAGTAGTTCTGCTCTGAGGCAGCAGCCTGATTTACACTACAGCAGAAAGGTTGCTGTTTTTTCCATTCCTCTCCTTCCCGTTCCGTTCTTCATAGGTCTGATGCATATCTTAATCATCTTCTGAACATGGCAGCCCATGAATTTCTTGTTGAAAGCTTTGCTATTAGCATAGTATTTGGCAGTGGTAAAAACTTTGCTACAAATGTTCTTTTGTGGCTTTAGAAACACCCTTGCTCTTCTGTTTGAAAAGAGCACAGTAAACCTTGATTGAGACTGAATTCCTTTATTGTGTCTTTTTACTGGCATGGAGACTGATGAAAGTTGAAACACTAGTATAGTAACAGAAACAAAGTGCAGTGTGCTGTTACACGAGCCCTTGTTAGCAGAAGAAAAGCCTTTTGGTTTCTTTCCATTGGAACTGTACAAATACAGTTTTAAAAATCAATCCCACTACAAAATTAGCAAAGCCTCAGGCTTTGTGAAGTAAAGAGGAGTACTGTAACTTTTTCAGATGGGCTGGCTTGCATGGGTTGAATTGAACTCTAAAATTTGTTTGGGTAGAAATAGGAAGATCCTGAAATTTTAGCCTGGAGATATGAAATAACATTTTGAGTTAGAAAAGGACCTTAGAATGGACAGGAAAAGGTAGATGAATGCCTTATCTAAAGAATATAAAATGTGCCTCTTTTTTTTTAAATAAAAAATTGCATTGGACTGTAACAGTGTTTAACATTCTGCTTATACCTGACAAGATTGATGTGAAAATATTCAAGATTCAATATCATCAATTCCTAGAATAAACTTTAGGGATAAAAGCTACTCACTA